ACAAGAGAACCTTTGCACCTTCCAGCCTGGTGGTTAAGGGATGTGGCCAAGGAGTGGAAGACATGGACTCTAGGCCCCACCCAACCAGAGCATTGAACCTGCACATCCTTTTACTGCCATAAATTGGCTCCACACCTTCCACGGGTACCACTTCAATACCCTTGCCCTGCCCAAACAGCTTCTCTTCTTTCTGCTTCCTGCCGGATCTGCTGCTTTGCTTTGTGCCCTGCCCTGTATTTCCTGCCTGATCTACTGCTCTGTTTTCTGCTCCTTGCCCTGTCTGCCACTGTGCTGCTTGTCTCTTTCCTCATCTGCCATGTGCCACACGCAGAAGCTGCCCTTGCCACTTAAGACACACATGCCACAGATTGGGCAACCCAAGATTAGGTATAGTGCAGAACACCCTCCACCTCTGCTGTTGAAGCTGGTCAGCCAAAAGCAGAAGACATAAAAATGCAGAAAAAGAGCAAACTAGTGGGAGCCTTGCTCCCTGGTTCAGGGAGGTGGGTATTGCCCTGGAATGGAGCGGACCTGGGCTCTGGGCCCCAGTGGAGTCTATCCATTTTTAGCCAATGACTATTGAATGCAAAATAGAGAAGCAGCATGAGGGTCAGGAGCAGAGGCAGGCACCAGAACCAACCTCCCCCCCTGCTTCCCAGGGCTGTGTCCAACTCACAAAGCAAACTTTTTCCTGCCCTAACCACTAAGCTATGGGGCTGAATGATGAAGAGTCCCCCTCTTCCTGCTCTCTTTTTCCCCCCCCTGTAACCTACCTGAAGTTGCATGCCCTTATGAGGGGAGCAGGACCTAAAATGCACATTAAAGTAGCCCAAAACTCCTTGTAAGCAGCTAAAGCTGGCTACGTAAGTGCTACTTAACCATCTAAAGGCGGAACAGGATTTGGGCCTAAGTCCTTATGCTCCAATAGGGATATTGCCTTGACATCCCAGACATGTAAACACTGACCTTGAAAGACACTGTCAGTCGCACGCAAATCGTCATCCCTTGTGACAATGCAGAAGATGGGGGATTAAAGTAGGTCTGAGATTGGATGTTTCTGTAACTTGGCCCGGGCAGCAGGATGGGCTGATTGCAGCCAGTTTTCTGTTTGCTTCTCTCCCCTTTGGCTTATTGTAGGGAGAGACGACTGAATCACTCTTCTCCTCCCGCAGCAGGCAGGCAAACAGTGTGGCTGATTGAGGCTATCAGCCTGTTTCCCAGAAGCGGTGTGTGGACAGAGGGCAGTTCTAAGCTAAGGCTGCAGATGGAGTCAGTGGGCTTGAATACACCAGCCATGTCCTGAGATGGCCTGCCTTTCATTCAGATGCCTCTCTCAGCTGCATGCACGCTGCGGCTTACGTGCTGTGCCAGCTGCAGCTCTGTGCTGGACGTGCCTGTAGCCTGGTTTTTCCCTTTTCCTGTCTCTGCAGATCAAGTGTGCTCACTGGAGCCATGCAATAGACCTGTGCCCTAGCTGGTGCCTGGCGTAGCTTATAACCAAAGTGTTTCACACCCTCATATGAACAGGACCACAACTGGATCCCTGGGACCTGTTTCCTTTTCCCCTCTCATCCCTTCCAGCCCTCTGGTCTGGTTCTACTCAGCTGGCTCTAGCTTAGGTGTAATATGCATGCCATAATGAAATGAGGTCTCTCAAGGACCCCTGCTTTGCTGTTTTAGTTTCAGTCCAGATGAGTTAGTGGTTGGAAGCAGAGCTCAAAATAGGCTACTCTATCCCATGAATGCAAAGGGATCTTGTGGGGAAGCGTGCTTCCTATTGGATTCAGTGCAATCCAAGAAGCAAAGGGGGAGGGGGAGGAGGTCTTAAAGACCATAGGACATTGTGGCAGAAAGTTAACATAAAAGCTTGCAGGAAGAAGGCAGCTGTAATAAGAAACCTGGTAGGTGGGGGGAGGCCAGAATGTCCACTTCTGTCATTCTGTGGGGTCTTGGAAACTCTCATGGCCTGGATGAGTCACCACTGAGAAATAGTGGTGTGGTATGCAGGATCTGGAGACTTTCCCTAGTTCTGCATGTGAGTACTTTATGTCCCTGCCTGGGTTTCAGTTTTAGGGCAAGAGTAGACAGCGGGTGAGGTTAGTGGGGTGTCCTTCTTAGAAGTATCCTACCAAGTGCTGCATTGAACTCTTCTGCATTGTGGTGGGACCTGGAGCTTCAACCAAGTCAAACATCTGCAGCATCATGTCCAAGCTGCCCAGTGGAGGGTGGTTGTCTGAAGGACACAGACTTGGCTCTCAGGTAGTGCAGGCTGGTGTTTGCTGTGGACAGGAGTGGAGTTATTTGCCACTTTCTGGTAGTCTTGTATTGAGGATTCAGAGGAAGAAGTTGCAGGGTAGAATGAGCCAGAGGGAGGGGTGAGAAGTGATGCTGGTGGTTTGGTCATTTGAGATCCCCTGGAGTGCTATGCTTTCTGCTTGGCAGAAGAGGCACAGCTGTAGAGCTTACCCTGTCCCCCCCCCTGTGTTTTTGCAGGCCCAGAACCAAGAACTGGAGGACTTAAATAAGGAGCTGAGGCAATGTAATTTGCAGCAGTTTATTCAGCAGACGGGAGCCACGGTGACTGTTCTGCAGTCCAGGTCTGAGGATGAACCCCAGCTGGATCAAACTAACCACGAACTGCCAGCCCACCAGAGAAACGGAGGTCAGGACGCAGTTTGGAGACTCCATTATTTAACAAGAGGGGGGCTTGCTCTAAGATCTGCTGCTACGCTGGGCCGAAATCCTGCTTTTTTAAAACCCTCCTCCCTCCACTTCAGCTATTGTCTGCCTTCCCAGGACTTCCCTACCAAGTTATCTGTAGCTATGTCATCACCTGCCAGCCACTTCCTATCTGATTCCTTCAATGCTGGCTGTAACTAAGGCACTGAAGCTGGATGAATGCAAGCAAAGTAATTCTGTAGTCATACATACCGAAGAGGGTAACCAGGGCTCATGTTTTCAGGGTCAACCAACCACAGGGCTCAGGAATAGACTTCTACTCACCTCCCAGTAGCCAGGTGCAAATCTGCCTTGTGGTTACATTCGCTCACTTATGTTAAAACACTGGGGTCTAGAGTTTAGCTTGCTACAAGGGTACAAAGTCTTTGTACTCCTCTCCTGGAGGACAGGATGGTTTTTACAGAGCTAATCAGCTGGATTATTTCAAACCCCTGTACATTAAAGCCAGACCTTGACATCCACATTTAAACACCAGGCTGCTTCTGCTTCAAAAGGTGCTTCTCCCATTGGCCTCAATGAGGATTGGGCTTGGCCTTCCTGGCCATTGGGTTACATCTGCTGAGGTGCCAAAATCCATATTTAGGAACCTGAGTGTAGGCCCCAGGGTTGAAAATGTGTCTAGAAGAGGCCTGAGTTGGTAAATGCAGGTGACTGGATCATGGCCAAGTCTTGCTACTACATTTGCCTTTGAACATGTGTTACGGAGCCTGGTTGTGGCTTGTCATCAGAGAAACTAAAGAGGGTCATGCCCTCCTGGTCCCTTGTATCAGTTCCTTGGGAAGGGGTAATTGCTGAGGTGATCACCTGGGGCTTCTCTCAAACTCTGTGACTGAGAGGCATGTAGTGTATTCGTTCCTCCTTCCCTTTGGTCCCTCTTTCTGAGAGAGCTGAGGAGAGTATCCAGAAAGACTGTGTGGCCATTACTAGTTCTCCTTTGGGTCAGGAGCCCATCTACCTGCATTGGACCTTAGCACCTCAGCTTGCACATGGGCAAGTGCATCTCTGGATGTCAGTAAGCGTATTAATCTGGGCAGAGAAACAACTGGTTGAGAAACGAAGTTACCTTTGGTGACAAACTGTGCTAGTCACCACAGCTAGACGGACTGCAGCGTTTCTTCCCCTTCCCCACCACCAGCTAGACAAACTGCTAGCTGGAGGTGCGGAAGGAAAAGAAATGCAGCACAGCATCAGTGTTAAACTCACCCTATGCCCTGAACCAGATCCAGACCAGGTGGCTTCTTGTGGGCTGGATCTTGGACCTGAAAGCAGTGGAGCAAGTGGTGGCAGAGGCATTACAGGCGGTGGCAGCAGCCATGGGGCCTTCATTTGACACCTGCTGCTGACAGCCGTACCCAGTGGGGACCAGTAACCCCAGATTCTGTGGTAGTCCCCTCCCCTGAATTTCCCAGCCCACCAGGAGCCCCACAGGCTGGAGGGAACAGTTCTGTGGGCTGGATCTGGCCCATAGGCTTTGTGTCTGACACTTCAGCCATAAGGAACACTTAATTGGGAATCAGCTGAAATGGCAGCTCTGTAAATACGATGCAAATATCCCTCTGATCTGCACAGCTTCGCTGATGCCCTCACACTGGTGTCTGTCCACACTGGTTGAGAATCTGGGCCCTGTAGGTCTTAAACATGTGCCACCAGCCCTACAACCAGACTGGTGTCTCTTAGATGTGGGTTGTGCTGTACCTTGTTTTAGGATCAGTGCGCTCTGCCTCTTTTTACTGGAAACCTGGTGTTGCAAGACAGTGATGGGGCCTTTCATTAAGGAAATGCCGGATATGGGAGAGAAGCCTCTTTCCTTGAGTCATCTGGTCTTGGGGGTGGATATCTTCTCCCCTCCCTTGCCCCTCCTAAAAACAACCCTAGGGAAGAAGAGCATGCTTGAGAGAGCTTTTGATTCTAAAGCCAAGTGCAGAGGCCTGAACTCAAGGGGTTGAAGAGCACTTTGGTGGGCATGAAGGAAGCTGGAGCACTCACAGAGTGTGTTGTGTGTGGCTGGTAAAGCAAAGAGAAGCACAGGCAGGTGGGGGCCAGGTTGCTGTTCAGAACAGGCGAAGCTCTTTATATAGCTGTCAGATCTGAGAGCAAGCGGTGCGTGGATATCTACATAACTTCCACCATCACTCGCCAGATCTTAGCCAAGGAGCACTGCCACTGACAGATCGTGGGGGTGTCTGGAGCTCCACATGCTGACTACTCAAAACTGCAGTGTGGGGCAGCTGGAAAACCTGCGCTGACTGCACCATAAGGGAGAAAACTCCAGACCTATGAGGAACTTTGTCTTGGGTAGAACGGCTAAGATTGCCTAACACCAATGGCTGTGTAAGGGGACAGAGAAGAGTGGAGTAGGAATTATTCCCTGGGATCTCAGCTGACTTGGGTGCAGATGGGGTGGTTGGGGAGGGAGAAGAGGAAGGACAAATGGTGCATGTGTAACAAAGGAGTTGGCCATTCATTCCTCCAATATCAGTTTCCTGCATTAGGAGCTTGGACTTCAAGGCAGCTCCGAGCTAGCTATGTGATGTTTTTGAATGGGTTATAGAGGTGACCATCAAGCTCTCCTAAGATGGGTCCAAGTAGCTCTTCCTCCACAGAAACCTAAGGGTATGGCTTCACTGCTGTGAACTCAAGGTAGTATACATGTACCCATGGCAGAGGTCCCCAAGTGAACAAGACAGAAGCCAAGAGGGAAGCAATAGCAGCATGAAGCTTGCTTGGCACAGACTGCAAAGCCTGTTTGAAATGCTGGTATGTGCCTGGGCAATTGGCCAGTGCTGAACTGTGTGTGGCCCTGGCTACCCTGCTAGTGCTCATGCTCAAAGCTCTTTTGGGGACACCCCCATGAGCATCCATGTGACTGCACCTTAGGGGTGGGGGGGAGCCCCTTCTCTACCCTCTTATGATTGGGAAGAGTTTGTGTCTCCAGGCCTGGCCCACGTGTCCCTTTTGCTGTGGCCTCCCGGCAGACGGGGCTGGCAGGCTCAGAGAAGGCTTGCAGAGCCGGCTCCCACGTGACGACTCATGTGCGAAACGTTTCTCGTCCCTAGGCCTTCTCCATCCCAGCACAGACTCGCCTCCCCGGCCAACTGCCAAGCAATTCCTCGGCAATCCACGGAACCTGCAGAACCCGCTGGTGTCCAGCCTGAACCCCGAGGGTGTGTATGTCTGAACTGGCCTCAGCCCCTTGCGATCCTAATGCCCAGTCTTGCCGAGAGCCCCTGCAAAAGCGCTAGTCTCCTTGCAATAGGGGCAGCTTTATCACCTGCGTGGAAGAGGCCGTGTTACGACTCTCAGACCTCTGCGTTCGGGGGCTTTTTTTATTCCTCTCTCGCTCACTCGCTTGCTGTCTCCTTCCACTGATACGGGACTGCAGCGAGTAGGCTGCTGTAGAATAGCCGAGGCTGGGAGGTCCTGCCGTGCCTACCGTACGTCGTAGTGTGCTCAGGCCCATAAATAATTGTTAACAAGCACCAGCCAGGGCAGGGGAAGGATGGGAACGGGACACTGGGAGCTGTTTTTCACTATGGCAGGCCAGGGCCGTGGCGTTGTGCAGTATGATGATGCCTTAAAAGTGTCACGTTGCGTTGCCTGATGTCTGAGCTATTAATAGATGCCGCCAGGAAGAGTGATGCTTATAAGCTGCAGCATCCCCTGGTTTCTGTGGTGCTGCTGGGGAGAAGCTAATTGCTGTGGGAGCCTGTTCCTTTACTCTCAGTGGAAGGGCCATCTCTGTTGGTGCAAGCCTGTTGGAATCTCGCTTTGCCAGGATGTGGGCAGAGCACAGCAAGCCTCTTGACTAGCAAGGGTGGACATTGTTCTGCCCAGGCAATCACGTGCCTGCCAGGCTCTTGGACTGCTATAATGCGTTATGCTGCATGAAGGGCTCTTGAATCTCCTTGCCCCTGGGAGTAAGTGCATGAGATGTCCTGCTGATGTTGGTGGAACAGTACCACTGGAAATCCCAACAAAGCATGGGTAGAGGTCTTGCAGGGAGAGTCTCTCTCTTGGTTTGAATGGTCCTCTGCCAGCAACAGGGTCATGGCTGTGCAGAATCACTTGGCTTAGCATTTCTCCCCCTTGGAGGAATGAGCCTCCCAGTGTTTTCAGCTTGCCTACAACCTCCTCCAGCTTTTCGGGATCAAGCCTTAAACTAAGCTGAAGTCCTCTTTACAAACCTGCCTTGGAAGCCACATGTAGAGGAGGCAAAGGGCCACAAATTTCTTGGCCTGTTAGAAACCATGCTTTCTTATTCAAGGCCAATGCCACCGAGGAAGTCATGCTTCTGCCTGCCTACTGCTCCAGCCTGCAAGTCCTGACCTTCTACAGATATGATCAAGGGGCAGGTTGCAAGGGTAAGAGAGTCAGGAGCTCTGGAGAAGGCCGAGAATATTCAGTTACAACCATGATTGCACCTCTGTTGGGCAGTTGCCCAAGTCCTTCAGCAGGAGGTCCAACGTCCTAGAAGAACCAGTGATGAAGGCATCTCCTTTTCCTCATCCCACCTCCTTGTCCTGATGCCCTGTTCCTTTTCAGGGAGAGCTCTGTAGTTGGTGCTTCTGGACTCGGTGTGTTGCAGGGGGATGGTTTAGATGTGGCATACCTCCTCCCTGTGTGACACATTTCTTCCACCCTGTCCATTAACTGTGGCTCAGATCCCCTTGAGAAACAGCACTTGGCCTCCCAGGTGGCAATAGACATGCCTCCTCCCACTGTAGAAGCTTTGTGCCATTTTAATGTGTCCATTCTGATATCAGAATAAGCTGTGTTTAAAGAAACCCCCATAAATTAGGGAACAGAAAGGTGACAGAGTTTGGGGGTTCAGCCACGTAGGGAGAAGGAGCCAAGGAGGGATTTGTATCAGAGAGGTTAACTCCTTTATCATGAAGGGTGCTGAGGCCAGTATTGGAGCCTGGATGTTAGTTAACAGCAGCATCCTGCCCCAGTACAAATGAAAGGGGAAGAGCCAAGGCCACTCCTACCTCGCTAGCAGATACAAAGACAGCTGTGCACTTGTGGCCCTCTGACACCTTTTTGGGGCTGTATGTGAAGGGGATGGGTTTTCTGTGGCCCCACCACCCAAGGTCCTGGTGGGAGCAGAGCACACTTCTCCCTGGACTGAGCAGTCGCTTCTGATTTGCTCGCATTCCTTCAGCGATCCCATGGGATTATGTTTAATCCTTGGCTTCTGTCACTGCTTACGCTGCAGGAGAGTGTGTGCTTGGAGAGGAGACAGCGCAGGACCATTTAAAGCCATGTGAACCTGTCCACTGACTGCAGGCTTTGGAGAAAACTTTGAGAGGAGATTTCTCTACCCCAGATTTCCTGGTGGCAGAAGTTTGTTCCAACTGGTCCTGCTGGCAAGGCAGAGGGGGTTTGTCCACCACACCCACTGGGAGACGTTTAAGAAGGGGGTGCTTTGTGCCTCCCTCAGCAACCCCCTTGCAGGCTGGGCATCAAGCTATCCCCAGTATGCATCAGGGACTGGAAACCTGGTTGCTGCCTCGTGTGTGCTTCTGAGCCTAGCCCTGGTGACTCTGCCTGGGCAGACTATGGCACTTGAATAACAGCCACAGCTGTGTGGGGCACGCAGGGATGGCTTTGCCCAGATCTGCTGAACAAGGTTTTCCACATTCCTGGTTGTGGCATCCCTGCCTCTTCCCCAGGACCAACTCGGGGGCTACCCCACTAATTGTTACAGTTTAACCTGTGTGTGTGGTCCATGCCTGCTCACTTTTTTTAACAAAAGCCAGTGAATCATAAAATCATAGAAAATGAGGGTTGGAAGGGACCTCAGGAGGTCATCTAGCCCCAACACCCTGCTAAAAGTAGGACCATCTCCAATTGGATCATCTCAGCCAGGGCTTTGTTGAGTCAGGCCTTAAAAGCCTCAAGGATGGAGACTCCACCACCACTCGAGGGAACCCATTCCAGTTTTTCACCACCCTCTTGGTGAGAGAGATTTTTCTAATATCCAACAATCTCTTCTCTGGCTACTGGACTCCTCTGTTGATTTTTGGTGCCATTTTTCATGTCCCAAGAGGCAATGGAGAGGTAACTCTGGGTTGGTGTCTCCTGTGTTTTAGTATCCAGGTACATGCACAGCATATGCTGTGACTGCCTTGGGAACATAGAGAGGTTCCATAACTCTAGCATCTTTCTGCATAGCCCTCTCTCTGGTGGTACAGCAAGAAGTCTATTGTATAGCCCAAATGCAGCAAGGAAGAACAAACACCAACTCCTGCCCACAGCCATTTCACTAGCTCTCCACAATGTTTCAGTGCATGTTCCACCGTGCCCTCTTAGTTTTGAAGGCTATAGTTTAATGTCACAACATGCACGGTTGTCACATTCATCTCCTTTTTCAAATACTGACCCACCATGATGGAATCACTTAGTTTATTTCTGTATGTCTTGTAGTGCTGTCAACAAGGCAGAGCACCTGGAGGTAGAAAGGCCCAACCAGTGGAGGACTGATTGCCTTGCGAGTATAACTATATAAATAAAATCATATTCCGTGTGTGTGTGTGTGTGTGTGTGTATAGATATGTATATGTGTGTGTGTGTGTGTGTGTGTGTGTGTGTATATATATATATATATATATATATATATATAAAATATATATACACACACATACACATATATATATATTGTACTCCTTTTTATCATGAATGAATGTCAATGGCTATACAAGTTATTTTTACAGATAAACATTTAAAAATGCAAATATATCTCATCTGAGTAAAACAACCTGTTTTTATTACTTTATGTATTTAAAAAAAAACAAAATGAAGATGCTGATGTTTCCACAGAGATCCATGTAGCCCTCTCATAAGATGCATCAAGTGATGAAAAATTATTTTTCCTCTGAGCAAATGAAACAGTGGACTGCCTTTGGGGGCTACAAGACTTGTCTGAGTTAAATAAATGAAGCGTATAGTAGGTCTTCAGTGCCATCCTCTGAGGTGCACTTTCCAGAGAGCACTACCCATAACTGCTGTTTAGTGAAGGATCCGTATAAATGAGGACTGTATCCTGTATAACATACTGTGATTCCCACCCCCCACCTTGTTAATACTAAAAGGAAAAAAGATAAGAAAATGGAAGTTTATTTTGGAAAAGTATAGAAATGTCTGGGGAAACACTGTATAGCCCTGTGAAAGAAAGATTTGTACAACCTGGAGGGACAAATATTGCTGGGATTTTTTTTTTTGGACTGGGAAAAATTGCAACTAGGAGTGTGTTGAGGTTGAACATAGAGTCAGCAGAGACTTGCCACGGTGCTGGTGGTGACATTGTCTTGCTCTTTGTACCAAGTACATCATCTTCCAACAGTGTCGTTTGCGCAGTAGCAAGGAGTTGAGATGGACTAGCCGGAGTGACGTCTGTTTCCTAAGAAAGCAGAATTCTCATGAGTCCCTAATTTCTGTTTTACATAGTAGACTGTCCAGGTGATTTTTAAAATGGATGTAATTAAATAGATGCAGTGTTGATAATTGAATGACAAACTGGCTTCTCTGTTTGTACACCAAGTTTTCAACAGTCTTAACAGCACGGAGCTTAAACCAGCATGAGAGTCATTTCCCTTCTCTCCCCAGGGCGGTCTGTCTCTCTGTCATAGGGAGCAGGTCACTAAATGCCACATCCACCTACTGTGCCACTCAGCTCTGCAAAAGATCTGTCTATACCTAGCTTCCTTAGCTTTGTGATATGCATCTGCCTCTGAGACTGGTTTTGATTATATCTGGATCTTTGTAAGCAGGGGAAAGGGGGAGGCAAACATTTGTTCTGTGGGTAAGGTCTGTACCATTCTGTCCTACTATTAAGTGCAATATATTTTGTTCCAGTCAACCAGTAGCTTCCACCATTGGCTGTTTCTTTCCTAGTAGAGGCTCTGAAAAGAGACCTTTTCAATAGTTGGGCATTTGCCATCCTTTCACTTCACTTCTCAAGAAAGCCTCTGTACCTCCTAAGTCCCTAAGCTAGCAAGCACATTTATGTTATAAGGTGGTGGCTTACTCTTAATGTAAGCTCACCACAGACTTTGGCTGCTACGACCCTTATATAGACAGGGAAATAACCCTACAATATACCAGGGGAAAGCTGCACTGCTCTCCAGAATGCATTGCTGTTCAGATCCAA